ATTAAAAGAACAGCAGATAGACAGGATAATAATGGATATATATTACGATGGCAACATGGCTTTATACTTGTTTAGATGTTATTCATAAATTATTTTTATATAGCCCATGAAATGTTTAACCACCAAGTAAATGAAATAATAGTTATGCTATATATGGGAAGGGTTTTAACCCATGGGAAGGGTTAAAAATGGCCAGCTTGTGTGAACACTGTAAAAGAAAAGAAAAAAACCACAGAAGCAATTTGTATAATCCAGTCTTGAGTAATATGCAATATTCATAGCTACGTATAGCTATGAGTTCAAAGCTAAGCATGAATACCTTCTTTTATATTTATTGCTACTGATGTAAAATTTAATGCTTACATGTAAACTCATAGGAACAGTAGTTTTCTGAAAGTTTTTAAGACACATCAGCAAAATTCCACAAATCTAGGACTTAACAGCTGATTCGTATCCAAAAATCTGTGTATATAAAAAGGTGCTACACATTTTATTTCATTTTTTAAAATTATATTTAAAATCACACAGAAGAAATCACTACATAAGTATTTTGGTAAAAGTAAAATTTGAATACAAATATATGGATCACTTCAGAAAGAGAGAACTCTGAACTTCATGCCTAGTAATAAATAAGATAAACCAAATGGTTCTCCTCAGTATTTTCTCATATCAGTTCTATATTTTTTGTATCTCCCCCAAAAATATACTGTTACAATTCAAGTCTGTGGCAACATCTCAGGTTATGATGATCATAGCCTGCGTATCCTGATGTCATCACAAGCAGGATTCCCTGAGCCTGAGGGCTATCAAGCTATGAATAACAAGGAGACCTATCATAACCATATACTGTGCAAACTCCATTCAAAAAGGAAGGATTCATCTGACTGCCATCGCATTTGTTCTTTTATTCTATCCCCTTCAAAAGTCAGTATCATGATACTCCATTGTCCTACTGAAAAAAGCCTGGATGGCTTTAACTTTGAAGTTTATTACTGAGGGAGCCAAGGTATTCCCAGTCTCTGTTTTCCTTAAAATAAGTAATATAAAAGACATTTGCTGCAGCTAATTAACAAGAAAAGAAGTTGTTATACAGTTGTCAACTATTTGATAGTTTGGGGTTTTTTGGTTTATTTTAGTATCTACTACATCCCATTCCAATTTTCCTGTAGATTTAAATCAGCTCAATATGATCTCGATGAATAGGAGGAAACAAAGAAATGAACGATGTTTAGGGGATCTGTTTTGAAAACTGCTAGGAAAAATTTATTGTTGTCTTTTCAATATGATTTTAATAACCATACCAGTTACCAAGAACGGAGAGACATTCTTATAGTCAGGAAGACAAAGGATTTATAATTACGTTTTTTAATCTTAAATTTACACTTAAGTTCACAACCTGAAAAGATTAATCCAAATTAAAGTGCCATATTCCTCATCCCTCTTCTGTTTTTATTGCCTTGTTAAATGACTTTATTTTGCATGCGTGTTGCAGTGTTTTTAAGATATCAGTATTGACAGAAGTAGCACTTTTCTTGTATCTTCTGCATGTAGCAAAAGTCAACCTTTATCTAATCCCAACTTCTGAGATCAGGGAACTAAGGGTAAGGATTTAACCATGAGAACATTTAGCACCTTCACATCTGCGGATTCTTTTCCATAGGACCTTCCAATCCCATTTTAGCTGTTGCCGCAGGGCATTAAAAGCCAACATCTCAGGTTTTAAGTTCGATACAGAGATTTTTATCTTTCTGCTGCCTTAAATTCTGAAAGTTCTGGAAAATGTTCTAAAGCAAATTTGAAATGGATCAAGGAACAAGGAGCAGCAGACTGATAGTTTCTTAGCAGGTATGCGTAGCCCTGAGGGCAAGCTGGATGAAATGGAGTTGTTTTTTTTTAAAAGTCACATTCATGACCCATTGCCAAACCTGGGCGGTATGTACTACAAGAGGCCAGCCTGGAGATGAGGAAAACATGGATCCCCATGCTCATGTTTTCATCTAAAAGGACAAAAAGTAATTTCCTATGTGAGGGAAAAGGGAATAGACTTTATTAAGCTGTTTCTATTTGAACTGGAGGCCTATGCACAATCTTCATAATCGGAAGCAAAGTGCTTGCAATTCATTTCCACCTTTTTTCTTTCCATCATGTGCACCGCAGCAATGCTGTGGACAGCTGTCTATCAGCTGGGAAGCAGGAACCAATTCATGGGTTAACATAAAGGAGGCAGGTTGAAATATTAAAGGATGGCTTGTTTCATGTGATCCCAATACCTTAACACATTTCTTCAAATACAATCTTACCAGAGAAACCCAAGGTCGCTAGCATTTTAGATGGACAATTTCTATATATCATTAAGGACTTCCCTGGGATGGGGTTTGCAAAGCCCTGGGCACGCACATTTGTAAGAAGGTAGAGGAAAAAGTGCCAGTCAAGCTAAATTTTCCATAAAACTGAACCAGTTCAACTTGACAGATTTGTGATGCTTCATTTAAACAGAAGTGGGTTGGATCATTCAAGGGATCAGAGATTTATGCAAAGAATACTGACTTGCATACACAGATGAAGATGGCATCCTTTCATTAAAAAATACACAGTTGTACTTGTTGTGTAGCAAGACATAAAACTGTGTGCTTAAATAAAACTGCAGTTAAAACATTGTGGAAAACAGTTATTCTATAATTAGAAAATGTGAGCATATGAACGCTATCAGCAGTAATTAAAGACTAACTGCAGTGCTCACTGACTAAATTTACAGCTAGAGCCTTATTTAAACTGCTTTTCACTTACTCTAAATAGAAAACTTTATAAAGATCTGAACTGAAGCACCACTTAAAAAACACACTTAGAATGTAAATCACTTACAAGTGATTTATTTTTTCAAAGCCAAGAGAAATACATGCCTATGCCTGGAGTAGGAGTAGCTCCAGCTTTCTGGAACTAAAACCTCAGGTATGTTTTTTTTTTCTCCTGTTACTGACTGTCAGAAACAATAAGTAAACAGGAAAAAAAAATTAAAAAGAGTATGGATCCAAGAGTGAAAGTTGGTATTGTACATAAAAGACTCAGAATATTTAGGAAAATGTTTCTACTTGCATCATACTTTGCTGAGTAAAACACAGATTACCTTTTATCCTTGATTGCTTGCTTTATAATACACAACAGATAAGCCTTTTGAATACCACAAATTTTTTTCATTGCTGTCATTCTGAATTCAGACCGTGGAACGGATCAGAGAATATACTGATATAAATCCAACAAATGTACTGGCAAAAACCGCAAGTGGGATAAATCACTTCAGTCCCCGCTTGTCAGAATGGTGGTCATGGGTTGACAAGCTACAAGTCAAACCAGAAATAGCTGTAATCACAGTTTACAAGGGTTAACTTAATGAAAGCCACTTCTTTGTATATCTACTACAGGCATCCAGACTTAGAAAGCCCTAAGCACTGTACCTTTCATATCGTAAAGATGCATATATTGAGCCTTTTGCTGAACTAGGAAAATTAGGCTGTGGCACACAACATAGGGAACAGTCTAATATGCTGAAATGCACCTAATGACAAGAGTGAAAACGGTTAAAAAAAAAAAAAAAAAAAGGCTGCAAAGTGAGTAACAAACGGGATTAATTCAAGTGAGTGCTGAGAAGGAAGTTGAGGATGTTAAGGAAGGAAATGACTCATTCTCTGTGTTTGTGTATAGGAAAGGCTGCGTAATACAAAGTTGCCTGGTGCCATACACCTTTATTCCCATTTTGGATCACTCTAATGGAAAAACCCCAATTTACTTATGTCCCCCTCACCACAAGGTGGCACATATGTGCTCTGCATAATTTTTAACTGCTTCTATAACTGACTTAATTTTTAAGACGTAACTGTTATCTGCTCCTACAGAGAGGAAGGGGGGTGGGATAAAACCAGGGAATGATAAACGGCATTATATTATCAAGTACAGACAACTAAAGTAAGTAAACTATTGTTAATATGTGGATTAATTCCAAACTTTCCTTGTTACTATTATTTACTAATGGGTCTGAGGTGTAGTCACATCCTTAATCCTGGATATTTAACATGGTAAGGAGTTATTGAAAGCTCAGCTTCAGTATGTTTTACAAATACATTCACCAGAAACTCAGCAGAATTTAAGGGTGAAATGGAACATGGACTTTGTACAGCAGACTGGTGTCAAAGACGGAAATAAGCATACAGAAGGAGAAAAGCAGGCGTATCTACTCATTATTTTGATTCTCTGTATTTTAAGCCTGCTGGCCACCCATTGGCAGGTATGCATATAAGGGTTTTTCTTGCATTGCCACCACTTTTCATCCTTGTGTTGCGAGTTTCAAGATCTAATAACTACATACACTAAGGAAGGCTGTTCCCTAGTAGTAATTTTTCCTTCATGCTGATAAAGGTTGTGTTTGAATGTCAGACTTTGAAACATCCAAATATACATTCTCATTTTCACCTGGTGGCTGATCAAATAAAAATGTCAGTGCGTTTGCTCCTCTTTCCAAGTCCATGGTATAAAAATACACTGCATGATCGATAATGCCCACAGCACACCCTTCTCCACGGTACATAATGGACCCACATGTTTCACATATCTATCAGAAAGGCACTAAGCAGACTATGAATCCACCAAACTGCAGAATAGATTTGAAAGCATACTGAGATAAGCATGTGAGTACAAAAGAGAGGGGGAGGAAATCTTTTAAGGACAGAAAAATACTGACCTAAATCAAAGCACAGAAACACTAGCTAGCATGCGAAGCAATTTTACCCACGCACCACAGAATATATGTTTTTAGAAAGTAAATTCTTGGAGATTTAAAGTATAAACTATGTACATAGCTCCCTCTGATGACCATTGGACACGATACAATGCAAGTCTCCTTTTATTTTTGTTCGTGCATTCAACTGACAGCTGACTGGTTAAATTCTAATTGCTTCCAAGTGAGGTCAGCAAAGGTATTTATCGAAAAGGACTGAACAACAGGCTCAACACACACATGCACGCGCACGCATAAGCACATACACACCATCTCCGCAGCGTGTTGATTTATGGAAACAATTATAATTCTGGTGGAGCCTTTCTGAGCTGAGAAAGTTTGTAGCTACAGTAGAGTGTCTCATGTTGCAAAAAGCAGACAACAGAAATGGAATACTTGGGTATCCAGCTCTTGTCAACAGGAACAAGTAAGTTCTGTCCTTTACAAAAACATTTAACAGACTGTAATAGCTAATAACTTTTATCTTCATTTGTATATGCTAGATGCTAAAAAAGGATTAAGAAAACTATTTCTATTAATAACTGAAAAAGATTTGAATATAGATACAGGGCTAAGAATAAGAGGTCTGTTTTGAAACTTTAACTAGACAAAAGTTATCTGATAGATTGTGCTAATAGTGAATATATAGCTACAAAGTAATCAGCAGAATTTTACCATGCATGAGAAAGTAGTTAACTGAATCAATAATGGATTTTTTGAAAGGACTTAAAACTGAAGAGAGGACTATGTTTACAATCAGTTTAAATGTCTGTTTATGTAAGAAGTTGTGTGAGAGATATCTATTGTGTACATATATATGCATATTTTAAAATATCATACGTTTATGTATAGTACTTTTCAGTAGCAAAATGTATCCTTGCACGTTTGTAACGATTGAGCATAAAGACTTATACATGCACCTTTTCTCACAGATCTTTTACTTTCAGTGCAAGCAGCAAATTCAAGTAGTACAGAAGGTCACGACAACAAAGGTTTTTATAACTTGTGTCTTTAAAGGATATTCTGACTGAAGAGATATTTAAGAAGCTCTTCTATTTCGCCATTAACTATTAAGGAATAACGATCAGAATTCTAGAAGAGGGAGCAATCCCATTTAAATGAATCTGTAACTCGTAAAGACAGAAGGCAGGTCGGTGACCTAAGAGCAACAGTCTACTTGAGATTTAATTTTCATTATGTTGTTCATGAACACCCAGAACACTGCACTATAATGCACAAATGGATACTGACATGGATCCTGCCAATTTTGCTCTACAGATCATACTTTTACATTATCTTTCTAATGGGCACTATATCTTTAGCTTGCAATGACATGACTCCAGAGCAAATGGCTACAAATGTGAACTGTTCCAGCCCTGAGCGACATACCAGAAGCTATGATTATATGGAAGGGGGGGATGTAAGAGTGAGAAGACTTTTCTGTCGAACTCAGTGGTACATGAGGATTGATAAGCGAGGCAAAGTAAAAGGGACGAGAGAAGCAAACAACAACTACAGTAAGTAATGCTTTTGCTTTTCCTATTTCTGTTTTTAGAAATTTACACATCATTGTTTTCTATTCCTTGATTTATAGTAATTTCAAAAGAATTTTGTATAGTATACTGACCATTGTATAAGACAAGTTTTCCAATTAATCCTACAGCCGGACATTTGTTATTGATTTTGAAATGCGTCATTTTAAATACTACATTGTAGATCTGCTAATGTATTAGTTACAGCTGGTAACTATTAGCAAACAGAGAGCCTATTTTAACAAGTGAATTAAGGTTGTAAGTATGAAAATGTATAACCACAAGCTCTGCTCATAAAATACTTAAGAAACATTAAGCCACATTTATGTAGTCTACAAACTACCTAAAAGTTTGGTGTGTTTGAGTTAACAATTAAAACATATGCAATACTAGACAGTTCAATGGAAAGAATTATGTAAACTCTCTTGCAAAATCTTTTAGATAGTTTGCCAAGCCAGGAACAAAATCTATTATAGTTTCTGCAGTTCATTATTACAATGATCATGATGCTGAAAAAAAATATTCTCTCCCCTTTCTTCCAAAACCATGACTCATCCAGAGAGAATGGACATATTATATTTTGCAAAACTGTAGCAAATACAATTTTTGAACTGCAAGAGAATTGTCGTACTAATCTGTATTTTTCACACAATTACTTATATATCTTCCATTTACACTTGAAGGCATCAATTTTACAGTCACTATTTTTGCCACTTTGGCATTCATGTTATTACATATATATTGTTTATTCAGAGAAATATGACATCTACTTCAAAAGATGTTACTTTATTAAGATACAACAGGAAAATACACAGGATTATATTGCATATTTCAAAACAGAAGTATAAGGAAAAGGGGCCAGAGACATGCTGATCTAGTGTTTATAGTCAACTGAAAGGACAAATATATTTCCAATGATGCTATTAAATATAGTTGTAATGTAGGTTCTACATGTTATTGTGCTTTTTATAACAGCAGCAACAACAAAAAAATAATCAATAAATCAAACTTCAAGAACTGTTACTGTGATTCAGCTTTCAACTGAAGTTGACTGATTATTTTCTATAGGAACAGCACATTTGCATGCTACGTTCCTGGCTAGTGGGCTTCATAATTTATTTTCTTCTTTACTTTGACTGCATTAAGTGCTTGGCAACTTGCATGGTTAAAACTTCATTGACTGATGTTACTGTTTCTTTTAAAATTTGTTTCCATATGTCTCTTTTTCTCCTACACTATTGCATAGTGAACAACCATATTCCTCTGAAAGACAACACATGGCCAGCAGCCAAATAAATTATTTGGTCCATATTCAAGAAGACTCCCATTGAGTTTCAGGAGGATATTGCTACAATAGAGATCCATAGAGCTAGTTTCAAAGTGAAATGTTGCTCCCATAGTAATCACTGGGAAAAACTGTTACTGACTGTTGAAATATTTCCTTCTACGTTTTTGCAGATAGGTGAATACCCATTGTACCCAATTTTTTCTGTTATTTACAAACACTTTAAAGAGATTATGACAGCATATAGAGCTGAATAATTATACTAATTTGCCTTTTTTAGTTCCAGGCTGCTTAAGCAAAACTTAGTTAGTAACTTAGCATTATTTTAAATTCAAGTAAAGGTTCCCAATTGTTTGTAGGATCCCATGCTGCTGAAGCACACTAATGACACCCTGAAATGTTCTATAGTGAAACCATTAGAGAATATCAGATCATCTTGTGCTAAAGGCAAACCATATTATTGTACTTTTCTGAACACTTTATGGATATTTAGTGATGGCAATTATTAAAAGTTACAGAAAGGCAACCTTGAGTCGTTAAACCCTTACATTTATGTTGCAGTGGAAAAAAAAAACAACAACTGAATTCTTTTTCTGGTAAATGTAATGAGTATCAGTAGAAAAAAGAATCAATATTTGAACGGTTTATCTGTTAATCAATGTGCACTGCGATGAACTGTCTCCGCTAAATTTAAAGTAAGTGGGAACTCTCCCACCATCTTAAGTTGAAATGCTGTAATTAATCTATTGCATACTAGGAAATAATATCCAAATGTTTTTGTTGGACAAGTAGAATAGGGAAATACAGACAAAGAGGACTGGAAAAATGTGAATGCTGATAACCTGGATTTTCTGAGAAACTAAAAAATATTACTATTGTTTTGTCATCCCCTCTATTCAACAAAATATGTATGAAGCCTTTTTGACGATGTGTTTATGGCTCTATACTAAAATACCCATAAAGAAAATAAGATGATAAGAGGGGAAAAAACCAAAACAAAACACCCAAAAATTCCTATCTAGACCAATACACTTTCCCTAAGCAAATTTTTTAACATTAGAAGAATAAACAGGCTATTTTTATTCAGGGTTTTTGAAAAGCATAATTTTAAAATCATACTCATTACAAAGATGTATTCATCTGGGTGCTCAAATACTCTTGTTCTGTGATTTCCTGCTCTGAAAGTTAGTAAAAGGTAAATCAGACCTGTTTCTCAGGATGGAATCCCAGAACAGTTGCAGTCAAATTAATCAATGGGTACGAAAAGTGTTGCTCTGAGAAGTATCTTCTAATTTTATCCCAATTTTCCACTTTCATGATAAATAAAAGGAATCTTTTCCCCTTTTGAATCACTACCATGTGCAAGTAAAATGAAAAAATTAAAAAAATACATATTTTTAACTATTATAACTTAGCTTCATAAAGGAAGCTGCATTGACAGTTTTGCAGACAGTCAACTACTTGTTTTCAGCCCCTGAATTGTGAAGAGCAATCTTCACATTGAGAAATACCTGTAGAATAACTTCTTCATAACTTTGGCAAGTGTCAAAATTCACAGAGCTTCTCCCATCAGTTAAGACTATAAATGTAAGAATGCCAAGGCAGTAAGGAATTAGAGTCTTTGTATTTCAAACTTCTCTAGTAAGTTACATATAAAATATATATTCACATCCTAGAAGGTAACAGCAAAAATAGCATAAGTGTTAAAATTTCCTAAGATTTTAATTCAAAATCCACTGTATTAAATGTGGGTTGAAAGTCCATTACAAAATTAAATATTGAACCAAATCCTCACTCACCAATTGCAATTAATCTGTATTTATCATTCACTTCTGCTTAGTCCAAGAAAAATGTGTGTACTGTTTCAGTGAAAGCAAATCGCTGAATCCTGTTTACAACAGCAATGACTTTGTTAGGTACCCAAAAAGTATTATTCTCTGCACATTTCAGAAAGCAGTAGAGCCTTCTGGTGGACATAAAGGTGATAACTCAAGAGTACACTGAGCAAATCAGAGGGCAGTGATCTCCACTAAGCAGAGGAAATCACTTTGCACCTGACAGCTTTGCTTTCATTGTGAAAACTAAAAAGCAGAGTGAGAACTGACAGTCACACACTGAAAAACTAAAGCAAGAATTAGGAAGCAGCCAAGAGATGAGGTCACCCAGAAAAATCTGACATTATTCATAAAAATTTTACTTTTTGGCAATTACTTATTATACCTTGTCTATGCCTAAGCTATATGCATTTTATTAGAAAATAAATTTTGTACCTTGTTCATGTAAAGTAATCTAAGTGGGCACACAAAACAGATTTTTTAAATTCATGATGGTTAAAAAGTGAGAGTGACTGAACAAATCTTGGAGATAATATGGTAATTTGTTAACTTTGCCTTGGATAGAAAATAAATCTCTCCTTATTACTTCTTACTCCTCCTTTCATTTCAGTTTGTGTTTATTAATTTTCCCAGATTTTCTTTTATTTTGTTCAGAAAAAGGCAGCAAAAATCAGAGTTTATTTTGACTCTATCCAAGAGGATTTACAACTATGGCTGGATGATGCTTTAGGACTTTCCACGCTCTGTTGCCTTTGGAATCTCATTTTAAAGACTTCAAAGGGTCTCTTAGTTACTAAAAAAGCCTTCCCGGAACCTGAATCCTAAGATGTCTGATCCTATCATATTCCATGTGTGCTCTAAACCCAGAAAGTGCCAATTTCCTCCTCTTTTCAGTGGATAAAACCAACCAAAAAAAAGTAAAAAAAAGAAAAGATAGTCTAGTGAGACCTTGGCACAAAATGGCTGAAATCTTGATTGAAATTTTTATCTTGGAAAACTACTTCTATTTTGATCAAAGTCCAACTTTCAGCATTATTAAATGAACTCAAACTCAGTTTTGCTCAAACCTAACCCCTAACTAGTAACAACATACTTTTTTATGCATTGTAGTGTTTAAATATTCAAACTTGCTTAGAAATCAAAATTATTTCCAATAGCATTTTATATATGCTTCGTAGGGTAAAACAAATGTTGGACTATGTAAGCTGTCCCCCTGTATACATTTTATTTCTGTTGCTTAAATATATATTACATAGAGGAGCAAGAAGATTCAGTATCCAGAAATCAGATATTTCAAGGAAGATATTGACGTACCAAATTCAGCTAAGGGTTACGTGCATTCCAACCAACCAGTTTGTCTTTGCAACTGCGTTCTTGATTTTTGAAGAGGTTGTTGATTCAACAATGTTGGTATCAGGAGAAGACAAACCTTCACTACTGTGAAAGTGCTTTTGTTTCACATTAGTACTCTGCTAATTTTTTCAATTATAATAGAAAGAGATTTAATTTGCATGGCAATATGTGTATCCTCTCAAAACTTAACCTCCAGTGCCAGGGGTGACTTTCTTTCCTCTAGCAATTAATCAGATCTAAATGTAACAGATTTCCCTGCTCCCTCTCTATCTCTTAGTCTAGCACTGGTAGTAGATACCACTCCTCAAGTTTCAACCAGCAGAAGAGACTCTATGCCTATATCTTAGCCTGCGCTTTATCACAAATCCCAGCTTTTCACCATCAACTGCTGACGAAGATGGGTTTTAGCAAAGATGTAGATAACAGAAGCATCTCACACCCATCTTACAGCTTCAATTGACTATTTCAATAACAGTACCCTTTGGGGGAAGCGAGGAGAAAGGAGGGAGTAA